AGGAGGGGCCTTCAGAGCGGCCCTCCCAGCGTGCTCCTCCCCCCCCATATATAGTGCGTGGAACTGTCCATCTGTGTCCCTCTCCCCTGTGCACACCTGTCTGTATAGAGAGAGACCAAGTGTATTTATCTCGCAACCCCCGTCCCCCAATAGTGTTAACACTGGAATAGCGACATCAAGGAGCCATGGAAATTGGAACAGCCCCCCAGCTGGGCTCTTCTCCCCCTGCCCCCCAGCCAGCAAAGACTAAACTCCCCCTTTGCTGTCCAAGTCTTTTTTTCCCCTTTTGTCCCACATCCCACACCCTGCGGTTCTGCTGCCAGGAGGGGTCTCCGACTGCCCCCTCCGCAGAGAAGCCTGTGAAGCTGAGGCCAGTGACGGAGGTGGGGGGCAGCAGGGTATCTGGGCGCTGCGCTGGAATCTCTGGTTTCGAATCTTGTAAATTTGTAACAAATAAAAGATGACGCCGTCGGCACCCGAGCATATGGCTTTGCAGCTGGTGGCCGTGCCCGGCTTGGCAGGCCCTCACCACGCCCTGAGCCCCCTCGGAGCTTGGCCTGGGGGGCAAACCCAGCCTCGGGGACTGCCGAGGGTTCAGTCTGTTGCAGGGACACGGGAGATGGGGTTGGACAGGGTTTTAACCCCAGGACGTGTTGTGCCAGCCCACCCAACGCTCTTTGAGCAACGTGGTGCTGGGGCCCCTGACCGGGCTGCACCCAGGAACCTGAGCAGCAGGGGGATTGGGGGGGAGCCCCACTGTGCTGAGCCCTTGGGCAGCTGGAGGGCTGGATTAGCAACATCTAGGAGGGCTGCTTGGTTCACACAATACGCTTGGCCACTGTGGAGGGGGCATCAGACAACCGTTGTCTTTAGTCAAAAAGGTTGAGATGCCAGTTCTGTGGGTGCCACCGTGACCCTTTTGATGCTCCCCCAGCACTCCTGAACAAGTTCCCCATACAGACAAGCCAGTGACCCGGTGCGACGTTAACCCAATTCCCTGGAGTTCTGGCTCACCTCTTCTACCGCTGTGATTTTCAGCCTTGGCACCTTGAAGATGTGTGGACTTCAATTCCCAGAGTTCCCAGCCAGGAGGAATTCTGGGAGCTGAAGTCCAACCATCTTCAAGGCGCTAAGTTTGAAAGATACGGTTCTACCATTACCTTCCCCTTCTTGCAGTCCACGTGTTCCCACCTTCCCTTCCCAGGCCAGCAGTGCACATTTAGCACCAGGTGTGAATTGTTCCTGAAGTGTGGGGTTGGAGGGACTCCAAAGACCATCTAGTCCGACCCTCTGCAACACGCAGAGAAACCAATTAAACCGTCCATAAGAGATACAACATTTTCTCAAAGCAGGACTTCTTTCACACCGTGCACCAGATTAAAACATGGTTTGCCAGCTGGAGAGGGGGTTATAGGAACTCAGACCTTTGGAGGAATGTGGTGGCCCCTGTGCCAGCATGGGCACGGTGCAAAGAACGTGCGCAGTGCTTCGGGCAGCTGTACGTAGGAAAATATATTTTATTGAGTAAGAAAAAAATTGGCATTCAGGCCAGGAGCCTGATCCTCCTCGGGCGGTGAGCTTTTGGGCAGCCTCCCCTGCAAATGTGCCAGGCCAGCTGAGGCCTTCATGCAGAGCTGTCGTCGCTGGAGGAGCTGGGCAGGAGCACCCGTTGCTGCTGAGGCTGTTGCCGTAGCCGCTTCTTCCGTCTGTGGCGCGAGAAGTGCCGGCGCTTCATGACAGCTGTGGGAGGGAGGGGGCATCAGGGTGGCACCAAACTGGCACTACGAAGGAGACTGCCCTCACAGGGCAGCTGACTCTGGAACGCCAGCAGCACTCCCGACACGCATCGGGAAGGCCCCAGATTGGGGGGAGCTGCAGTGGGGCCGAGGTTGTTAGATGGCAGCCATACCAGGAAGTCATTCTGGGGGGGGCGTTCCAGGGGAGGGTCCAGAGAGTCCAGATGGTGTCTGCAATGGCGATCAGAGCCATGTCCCTTCTCTAAATAAGCAGGACCACCCCCAAATGCTTTCTCACCCCCTTTTGAAAACAACAGCCTGCCACACAGGTGCAGGATTTCAACTCCCATCATTCCCAACTGGCAGGGAAAGGTGGGTCAGGACAGCTCCAAGTCTAAACAGACCCCTAAGAATTTGCCCGCCCAACTGCTTCACCTGCCCCCCAGCCAGGCTGGGAACTGGCCCTGGGAGAGAAGCCACTGCCTCCCCAAATGCAAGCCAATTATTAGGTGTACCCGCCCCCCGCTGCTGTCCCCCGAAGGTGGCAGACCTCTTGATGAACTTGGGGGGCACTTGCCACCCTCTGCTCAAAACACTTTTGAGTCAGGATTGAGCCATGATTTACTGAATACGCCAAAGGGGCTCTGCTCGCCCCACAAGCTAAACCAAAAATCGTAATTTTTTTCAAAGGATGGTTTGCCAGCTCTTAGGCTCAGGTCCAGCAGAACCAAGACATGGCACCTGGGGGTTCAGAAGGCAAAGCTTGAGCCCAGCCCAGACTGGATGCCAGTCAGGACAACTTGAGCTGAAGAGCTCCAGAAAAGTCTCCGGGACAGGGAGGGCAGAGGCGTTGCCAAGGCTGGTAGATCATCACGCCTGGCACAGCTCAGCCGGAAGCCCAGCAGGCACGGGGCAAGCACAGATGGGGCTGACCACACCTCTCCCTAATCCCAGCCACCCTCTTCAGGGGGGCCAACAGAAATACAGCCAAGGTCCAAGCACCAGCGAGGCTCTTCGGGGCTGACATGCAACGGGCTGTGAGAATAACCTTGAGGAACAGGAGGACGAGCCACAACCCAGACAATGATTCGACATAAGAAATTTGAGTGAGGCGGAAACGTAATTCAAGAAAATGCCTTAGACTTGACCCTCCCTACTTCTGTTGAGGATAAAGGCAGGAAAGGGGGAGGCACGTGCAGACTGGCAAGATTGGTGTCAGCCCTTCGGGGTAGACCAACCTTGGAAACCAAAGACACGCAAGCTAATACTGTACTACTTTTATTATAAGGTTACAGTAACAGAATCTTGCCAGTCTGCACATGCCACCCCCTTTATCTACGAGAGAACTAGGGAGGGTCCAGTCTGAGACGCTTTTTCAAATTACAGTTCTGCCCTGGACTCCGGTTTCTTTTATCTGAGCCTTGTCTTGGCTGCGTCTCTTCCTCCTGTTCCTCAAGGTTATTCTTGGAGCCCGTCGCAGATCGGCATGTGCAGGGCTGGGGAAGAATGTGCTGGCTCAGCAACCATAATTGCATGTCAGCCTAGCCCATAAATGTGGTTAACCAAACCAAAGGAAGGTGAGACATGACAGCCCTGTCTTGTGGGTGTGACTGCCACAGATGACACGTCAGGACATGGGGTCAAAAAAGTCAAGAGGCCAGCAGCAACCGTGCAGTCAAAGTGTGCAAAGTATGTAAGAAAGGCCTGGGGCTTCGATCACACGGTGGCAAAGACAGGTGTGCCTTTGACCCACGCTCCCCTGTGAATGCTCCCAGATCGGGAGCACCCTGCCCTGCAGGGTTCTGATCTCTGCATCGGACTCACCAGCCACTGTGTCGCGCCCCTCCTCGCCGCTCATCATCCAGTAGAGACTCGGCCCGCGGCGGCACTTCTGGTGGAGACGGGTGTACAGCACCGCCAGCGTCAGCACCACCAGCAAGAAGGTGAGGGCGCTGGCGGCCCAGGCTGCTTCCTCCGTGCGGGGCGTGGGCACCCGGAGCCCCACCTGGCGACCCTCCACCTCCTGGACAGGGACGTCAGTGTGTTTGCTGCCTGGGCACTGGCACGTGGCCCTGTGGACTGCCCCAACCTCCGTGGCCAAGCTGGGCAGTGAGGGCTGCGCACCCTGCTTGGTGACAGGGGGCTGCCCAGAGGGCAGGCTGGAGCTGCCCGGGTGGTTCGGCAGGGTCCTTTGGGCAGGGTCAGCTGGCTTCGAAGCCTCCTTCTCCTCCCTGGCGTTGCGCAGAGCTGGGGGCAAGCTGCTTTGCCCTGCCTGGGCACGACCTCCTGTTTCCGCAAACCTCTTGGTGCCACTCAGGGCAGGGCGAGAAGGCAGGCCTGGCCGGAAGACGGCTCGTCGTTGTCTGCCAAGCGCCCGCAGCTGCCGGGCGACAGGGAGCCTCTCCCAGAGGTGGAACAGCTTCTGCGGGATTGGGAGGGTTGAAAAAGGAGATTGAAAAAGAGAAACGGGGATTAATCTCCTGGATTACGTCGCTAGACTTCCTCTGTCGAGTAGCCAAACGTGCTTAAAAAGACAAACTTGTACATTCGCGGGGTTCAGTTGAACTGAATGGACCTTTGGAATGACGTGCGATTGTCCCACAAAATCCAAGAGCTCCATTGCCCCCGTTCTGGGGGCGTCAACCTCTCCAACCCAGGCCGGGCAAGCTCCCAGGGCTGGGCCGATCTTGCATGCAGGCCAAAGGTTAGAGAATTTTATAGCACCGAAGGAAGGTGTCCTGTCTAAAATCTACTCCCCGGCCTGAGAGAAACTCATTTGTCTTTCAAGACGGCAAACGGGTGCAAAATCTCAAAACTGAAGCAGAACTGCTGAAAGTCAGTCTCAGAGAGGGGATCTGGCCTCTCCAAATGCCCGATTAAAAAAAAGTTTTCCAAAACGGAAAGTGGCCAGAAAAACAGCTTTGATTGTGGTGCAATTTTAGATTGGATTCCTCACATCGAGGTTAGATCGTCCCAGCAACGCGGGCTAAGACCTGTATCATTTATCTGTGGATTTTTAGAGCCTGCTGTCCCTCAAGAGTAGCGTTTGGGGTGCCACTAGCATTCAAAAACATAGAAAAATAATTATAGCAATACAAAATCAACTAAAAACAAGCAAAAATGCAAGCTAAGCACAATGAACTTACTTACCCCAAAGGAAGGAACGCTCTGGAAAGCAACATTCCTGGTGAATCCCTTGCTCTGCATCCGAAAACCTGCCCATAGCAAAGACGCCCCGCTTCCTGCTCCCTCGCTGCCTGGCCTGACCCCTCAGTTGCCCCTCCAGCCACTTCTACCTGCCGTGCTGGGCATGCCTCTCTGCCCGCAGCGAAGGCTGTTCCCCTCTGCAGCCACTGACGGCGGAGGCGTGTCTTCGGCCAGGCAAAGACCGGTTCGACTTTGGCGGTGTGCAAGGGGGCACCCCGGGGGTCAAGGTGAGGGGCTGGAAGGGAGAGGTGGAAAGGGGGGGGCCTCCGTTCCTGTCCTCCAAGACCTCGAGGGGAGACAGGCTCAGGCAAGGAAGGCTGGCTGCGCTGGAGGCAGGGGGGCAGGAGGGCAATGGGGAGAGAAGAGTGGGTTGCTCTCCTAGTGGAGGCGCTGGGCGGGTGGGCTCTTCCCTGCAGGTGGAGGGGCCTGCCCCTCCCCATTCTGCAGCCCTGAAGGGACGCTCCGGGGAATCGAGGCCTTGCCCCTTCAGGGGAAGATGCCTCAAGAGCTCCTTGGCAAATCGTAGCCTGGGGAACCCAAGCAAACGCTGGTGTCGCCCGTTCTGCCCACGAGAGACGCGCTTCGCCCCTTGGGAAGGCTGACTCGATCGAAAGAGATCTCCGCCGCCTGAATCCAAAGCTTAAGCCCCGCTGGGCCAAAATTAGTCGCTTGATATTGAAAGGAATCCAAAGATGGGCAGGGGTGACTGAAACCCCCCACCAAATGGGAGGGGGTGAGCGAGAGGCCATTCCTGCCCGCGTCCTACCTTCGGCCTGGGCAGCCAGTCTGGCGGACGCCGGTCCTCGTATCCCCCCAGGGCTGCTCCAGCGTGGCC